CCCGGTGCGTCACCCACCGCCCCCCACCTTCGCGCCCGCCCTCCGCGGCTCCGGGCCTCGATCCCGGCTGGCCCGGCCGCCGCCGCCGCCGCCGCCCTGACTGCCCTCTGCAGGTTACCAGGCGCCGGTGCCATCCAATTACTTCTCCCCTCTCGGGCGGGGCTTGCTGTCGTGCCCATTGTACAGACCGAGGAACTGCAGCTCAGAGGGTGGGATGACTCCCGCAGGTTGACACAGTTAGGAAGTGGAAGGGCGGGGAATGAGAGTTCCCGGCCTAGATCTTCCGGCCTCACCCCTCCTGAGGCACCTACCCGTCCCCGGGGCATTTCTTCCCTCTGGGCCTCTTCACCTCCTCAGCCTACCTCCTGGCAGACAGCCTAGTCAAGGCCTTAGCGGGCCCTCCCTCTGTACCGGGCCCTCTTCAGCCCCCAGACCTCTGTGTATGGCTTCTGGTCACTTTGATCAAGAAAGGAGTAAGAATGAGGGATACGCTCCCGCCCCAACCTGCTCTTCTTGTCTGGCGCCCTGTCATGGCCTCGCCCTGGGGCTTCCTGGTCCTCAAAGCCCTCACTCTCATCCCTGTGGCTCCACACAGGGCACACCCAGGACCCACGGAGCTGATAGAGCAGCCACCCACCGCCCACAGCCAGGCAGGGCCCGCCTCCACATGCAAACGTAGGTGTGCGATGTGCACGGAGCAGAGGTGTGCAACAGGGAAGCCATAGAGAGGCACCTTGAGGGAAGGCTGGGAAGAGGGCTTTGTGATCCCTACTGTCCATCCGGACTGAAGACAGTGTTGACATTTCATTAACACACACAGGCCTATGTTCATTCACTGAATACATGGTATGGGGTTAGTTCTGAGCCACCGGAACAAGGCACGCAGGGTCCAGACCGTAGCCGCTCCCCTCCGGCTAGCCCAAATGATGGTCCATCGGAGGCAGACAGAAGCCTTTGGAAAGGCTGGGGCAGGAAGTTACTAACTGCCTCTGACAGAGAAGGTGACATTTGAATTGGATCTCGAGTAAGTCCAGGAAGGGAAGGGCAGGGCATTCCAGAACATCAGGGGAAATAGCACATTTTCATTTTAAGAGAAGCTCTGAAAGGGGAGAAGAAGGGGGGCGGGGGGGGGGGGACAACGCTGTGAATGTGGTCTCAGGGGTGACATTTCAGACCTGGGGGACTCTTCCAGCTTCACTCCACTTACCTAGCCGTGCGAGGCAGAAGGGCCCCCGGCTGCAGTTACTGGACACGGCTCAGAGCAAACCATTCCCCTCCCCCACCCCCAGTGGGTATGACAGCCATGTCGGCTTTATTAATAACATATCATTTGACCGGCATCTCGCGGACAGAAGTACCCTGAGTCACGCTGTGGGCATGTGCTCTGTCATCCAACCTCAGGATGGGGCACCAGGTGCTGTAGACCCATAGCGTGGAGAACCGCCTTAATCATCTCTGCCCTCCAGCCCCTTGCACGGGCCCTGGCACAGAAGGTGGCTGCATTGAAGGAAATGATCTCTGAGTCCGGGGAGGCTGGCACTCAGGGAGAGCAGGCCCATTCCTAAGCATGCTGGGACGGGCGGAGGGCACACCCCTGCAGGTTGATGGGACCGGTGGGAGAAATCGTAGGTGGCTCACAGTGGCAAGAGGACAGGATCTGGAGAGTTTGCTCAAGTTGCTTCTCCAAGCCTTGGTTTTCTTCTCTGTGAAAGGAGGAAATGATAATACTCATCCCAGCAGCCTCATGGGGTTACTGTAAGAATCGAAAGAGCTTTCTTTGCAAAGACATGAGCCACTCTACAAAATGTTCTCTGGGCCTGAGTGGCCCTTCCTGGCTCTGGATGGCTGTTCATCTCCTGTAGCTCCCAAGGGCTCTTACCAGTGTGTGAGTTTATAAATGTTTTACTCTTTTCGGAGTATTTACATTTTGAAAGAGAAAGTAAAGATGAAGAATCTTAAGAAAGACGGCTTAACAGTGGGATTTGTGCCCTCTGATTTTAATAAGCCACCTGCAGGCATCACTCCAGGGAAAGGGCGGCACCCAGCATGGCCCCTAAAGCTAGCTAGGGTTCCGGAAGCTAGGACTCTGACCTCTTCCCACTTCCCACCACCACTCTGAACCCCTCACGATAACGTCCATCTCCAGGGGTGCCTGGGTAGCTCAGTCACTTAAGCGTCCGACTCTTGGTTTCGGCTCAGGCCATGATCTCACAGTTCATGGGTTCGAGCCCTGCATCGGGCTCTGTGCTGACAGCTCGGCGCCTGGAGCCTGCTTTGGAGTCTGTGTCTCCCTCTCTCTCTCCCCCTCCCCCACTCGTGCTCTGCCTCTCTCTCTCTCTCTCTCTCTCTCTCTCTCTCTCAAAAGTAAATAAACATTTAAAAAATTAAAAAAAAAAAAAAGTCCATTTCCAGGCAGGCACCCAACTAGTAATAGACTAGACCCTCATCTAGCCCGGGACACTTAGCTCTGCATGTAGCACATGCAAGGTAGTCCTAGCAGCTGGCAGGGTCAATGTCAGTCCCTTCCTTCAGTCCCCAAGCTTCAGGATCAGGAAGGAAGAGGGTGAGACAATGTGCTGCTTCTTGGGTCACCTTGCCACCAACCTTCAAGGACTTCTGGGCAGTTGTCTACTGCAAACCTCAGACCACCAACCCACGTCCAGTCCTGATGGCTGATGGCTGGGCCCTGGTTAAGTGTGGCTCAGTGACGGGGCTGGGGGGTGGGGGGCAGGAGAGAAGAGAGGAAGAAAAAGAGAAAGCTGGGGTAAGTTCGGTGAGGTACCTGGTATTCTCATCCTAGCGCTTAGGCTCCGGGGTCTTTCCTGCTTCTCACTGCCCTTTATGACCACTGACTAGATGCCCTCCCCCGCCCCGCCCCGCCAGGCACAACCGGGGCTCAGTGAATTCTGAAGAGAGGGACGTGTATCACTTGGCGAGAACACACCCACGCAACAGACACAAGGCACCCACAGAGAGCATGCAGGTCCACCCTCATCATCATCATTGGCCAGTGTCAAGAATGAGGAGTCTGGAGGCAGAAGACCCGGTTCCCAGATCTGGCTTCACCTCCATTAGCTAAGGGTCCCTGGGCAAGTTACTTAGCCCACGTCTCAGTTGTCTCATCTGCAAAATGGGTTATCATGAGGGACGATGCAGAGTCGGCATCGGACTTTCTTGAGATAATGCACACAAAGCATTTGTAACATATAAAGCATAATACAGGTACTTTATATGCTATACGTTCGCTACCTTGACATGTACTAGCTTGGCTTACCACCCACTGCCACAAACTCCCTAAAGCGCGCGGACTCCTTTCAAGTGCTTCGAAGACCCCTCACAGCTCGTGGTCCTGGGTGCCACGCCCGTACACATTTCTACACGGCATACTGTATAAATATAGGTTTTATTAATAATGGGTGAAACCCCACAAATACAACTGGCATCTCTGGGTGATGGCGGGAATCCGTGGCAGGACAAGAGAAAGAAGAGTGGTATGTGTACAGAAATCAGGGGGGCAGGAAAGAGCCCTGGGGGAAGGGGAAATCAGAAGCGGCGTGAGCCTTGGACCTACCACAACGGCCAGACATGTTCTGTGTCTGTCGCTCTGGTGCCCAGGGGCCGCCTTGGCGGATGGGAAGGGTGTGGAGAGACCCAGACGGGAGTTTGAATGAGCAGCAAGCGGCTGGGGAAGGGGTAAGAGAGTGAGAATACCAGCCTGACGCACAAGAGAGGGGGCATGGGGTGGCAGGTGGCCAAGGCCAACTGATGCCCGTGCTTGTGCTTGGGTTGGCTCCTGAACTCCAGAGAGATAGTGCCTTGTGCCGCCCCTGACTTGGAGGGGAAGGAGGACTCGGGGGTAGACACCTGCAGATCCTGGAGACACCCCGGGTAGCACCAGCCTCAACCTTACAGTCCAAGCGGCATGCCCAGGAGGAGGCCGGCACTGCCCTTCCCGCAGCTCCCACCGCCACCACTGCCACCATCGCTCCTCGGAGCCACGGCGGACAGCGAGTGTGTGTAGGTCTGAGATTGCCCGTTCGCATGTATGCGCCCGTTAACTCTGGGGAGGGTAGGGAGTTTTGCAGGACCGGGTAGGAGAAGCAAGAAAGGAAGCTTGGTCTTCTCCTACTCATGCCCCAGAATAAAGTGCATTCTCCAGTTCCAGGGGCAGGTGAGAGAGAAACACAAACATTATTGCAGAGGTGCCACCAGACCCTACCCCCACCAAAGGGGACGGGGAAGGGTAAACGGGGCGTCCCGTGGCCCCAGGCCTCTCCAATCCCCAGGATTGGGAGGGGCGACCCAGACAGAAAACCCAGCTTCTGTCCCAGCAGATTGTCCAAGGCGGCCAGGTCTGGGGGTGGGGAGAAGGTGAGGAGGAGGAACAGACTTCCAGAGCCTTCCCTGCTCCGTTCCAGTGTCCAAAT